AAAAGACCAGAACACATTCTCTCCAGCAGCCAACACCCAGATAAGCAGGGATTAACACCAGGCAAACTATCAAGCAGAAAACAATTCCCTAATCAAGGAACTACTAAGGAAAAAACCACACCCCCACCAAAATTGGCAGGTTAAGCTACTCTATATAAACAAGGAGCAAACCCCACACACTCACATTGATTATGTTACCTAGTTGGGTAATGAAATGTCTGCAAGTAGACAACTAAGCTCAGGGAGTACCAAGAACTCCACAGTTAAACCCTGAGCTACATATATTCTTTTCTATTGGAAGCATGCTTTTGTAAGACATTAGATTTAACAATACTGCATTCCTAGAAAGGAGAGTAATAAATTCATCTTCACTGTGAAGAAAATCTATCCAGAGTTTATACTTCCTCAGTTTAGGTCATCCATTATCATAATTATGTATAGGAAAAGTCTCTTCTTTTTATGCATAGACTTTTAGATAATAACATAATGTGTAAGCTTGATGAATATTTGCTGAACCAAGTCTTGAAATAAATCTCAACCTCAATAATTTTGCAAAAAAGCTTAGCATTGATCTTTGAATCTATTACAAGATATGAAACAGGATTGAGAACTTTCTGTTTAAAGCTTTTTAAGCTCATAAGTGATACTTTAGAAAACCTAAAGAACTAAAGGTTACCATCCATATTTTCAAATGGTACTGCTTTACTGTATATGATTTTGCAATGCTGTAGGTTGTTCTACTGTCATATTTGACAGCAAGAAAACTTCATGGAATTAGTTATATCAAGATATTTTTGATATTTCCCTCAGAAACCACCTCTCAGTTAAAATTGTTTAAACTTAAGTTTTTCTCCAACGAAATCACTAGCATAAAATTATCTCTGACACTATTCTTTTGATGCTTCAAGAATCTGACAGCCTCAGATCTCTTGGATTTGTGAGGCAGTATCACTTCACACTTTGGGTGCTTACTGTTTATTTTTTAAATAGACTATACAATGAAGTTTCACCACTAGAACACTTCAGAGGTTTTCAGATAAAAAAGTCCTTTCATAGTCCTACAAAAACATGCCTTATAAAAATGTCATCCATAAAGGACTTTTGCACAAAGATAACTTCCTAGAAAACATGAATCATAGGGTAAGCAATTTATTTTTCTCAACTACCTACATCCAAAGGGAGCCATGCTATAGCATGTTACCCACTCAGTAACTGAATGTGGAATAAAAGCAAAAATAAACGAGTAGTACTAAAATGTATGTTGAAGTAGTTTGATAATAGAGTGAGAATGAAAGGATTGAATCACAAAATAAATACATGGAAGAGGCAATGGGTTGAAAAGAAGGGGAAGATCATGAAAAGGGAGTTGATGAGATTCTTGAAAAGAGAGATTTAGACAATATATGAATTGATATATGATTATTCTGTAAATGAGGATATTTTGCAAAGATACAAAGATATGGAGTCGTGTTAATATAAAGTAGATTTAGCTATGTTTATTTTCTTTTATTATCTCCTACCTTTGTTTTTTTCCATACAATTATTCACTTCTCCTTTGCATTATGCTTTAATGTTGCTTACTCAAAAAAAAAGTTTAATGAGTATGTGTACGTATAGGATTTCAATTTGTACTCTGCATTTCCATACCTGTGGAATTCAAGGCAGCTAGCAGACAAAAAAACCCAAATATAATCCAAAAGAATTTTAAAAAATGATTTAATACAGCAACTAGAAACTTGAAGGATGAAGGCTCTGGATGTGTTAAGGGTTTTAAAAGGTTTGTATTAAAATAAAAGTGGCAGAAATTCCCCTGGATATACCCAAGTTATTCTGCATTCCAAAGGTATTCTTTAGGCTTGGTCAAAACATTTGAATTTTTAAAATTTTCTTTAACAACAGATTTAAATGTGAGAGGATTAGAACTGTGAACGGAAACTTCGGTTATATATAAAGCTAAAAAGGATGGCATAAAGCATATTTGTTTCTCAAAGGTTATTTAATTATTTATGGAATGACGAACTGAGAGCAAAAAGTAAGACTGATAAACCTTCCAGATTTCATTTTATGTGATTTGAGAGCTATATTTAAGATTATGCGCATATAGTCTTTAAAAGATATTACTGATGCAATGTTTTATAAGTTATAATATTTATTCTGTCAACTTGTCTTTCAGAATGGTAGAAATGAAGCATGGATCTGAAAAGCAAGTTATGGTGAATATAAGCTATAAACAGGGGAGAGATGGCACCACTGTTGTGGATACAGTTGTTGAGGAAACTTACCTCTGTGCTAGTGTAGAGTTTCTGCTTACTGTTGCAGATGTATTTCTAAATGCTACTGCTGAAAGTGCTGCTGCAGAAAAAAACTTCAAGCAAACTTTGGCTACAAAAGAACAAGGTCAGTAATTGGTACCAATATGTTTTAGGTATTGACTGAATAATTTTGGCTTCATTGTGTAGCTGTAACTTTGTCTGCATGATAATAATTTTACTCAGTAATTTTATAAAATTTGGATTTTTGCTAAATTTCAAGTGTTTCTACATTATTACTTCAAATTTTGCTGAACTGAATATAATTGCAGGAGG